ATATATAGAGAGAGAGAGAGAGAGAGAGAGAGAGAGAGAGAGAGATCCCGTCCATCACAGGGAATTTGTACCTGTATGTGATCCATCTTGATTCTTCTTTCCCCCCCGACCCTTTCCCCTCCTTCAACCTCTCTTCCCTTTCTCATTTACAAAAGCTTTGTTTCCATTTTTTCCTTTCTATTCTCCCCTCCTCCCCTAGTTCCCCTTCCCATTTGAACCTTTTCTTCCCATTTTCCAATATCCATTATACATTTTGGTCCTTACTTACCCGTTTGGTTTCTCATACCAGAGAAACAGTGCAATATTTAAACTTGTGTGTCTAATTTATTTCACGTAACAGTGTGGTCTCGAGGTGCATCCATTTACCTAGAAATGTCTTAAGATTATCCTTCTTTGTGGCAGAGTAGTACTCCATTGTTGAAAAATCTTCTTCATCCATCCATCCATTGATGAGCATTTGGGCTCTTTCCCAGATTTAGCTATTAAAAATTGTACCTCTGTAACCATGGGTGTGCATATATTGCAATGGTATGGTGCTTTTAATTGTTTTGGAAAGATACCAAGAAGGGGAATAGCTGGGTCAAATGGAACCTCTAGTTTTAGTTTTTTGAGGAATCTCCACACTGATTTTCCCAGTGATTGTACCAGTCTACACTCCCGCCAACAGTAGAGAAAGGTTCCTTTTCCCCACAGCCCCACCAGCATTTGTTGCTGGTTGATTTTTTGATAACAGCCATTCTTTCTGGAGTGAGGTGGAATCTCAGTGTTTTAATTTGCATCTCTTGAATGACCAGTGCTTTGAACATTTTTTCATATATTTGAAATATTTCATATATGTATTTCTTCATCTGAGAAGTGTTTGTTCATTTCAGATTCCCAGTTTTGGATTGGGTCTTTAAATTTTGAGGGGTCTGAATTTTTTTGAGTTCTTTGTATATTCTAGATATCAATCCTTTGTCTGAGGAACAGCTAGCAAAAAATTTTCCCACTCTTTGGGTTTTCTCTTCACTCTGTTGGTGGTTTCTTTTGCTGTGCAAAAGCTTTTTCTGAGTTGTTGATTCTTTGTAATATTTCCTGTGTGATTGGGGTTTTTGTTCATAAAGTCTTTGCCTGCACCAACGTCTTTGAGAGTTCTAGCTATGCTATCTTCCAGCAGATTTAGTGTTTCTGTTTTAATATTTAGATCTTTGATCCATTTCAATTTTAGTTTAGTGCATGATGAGCGATATGAGTCTAGGCTTAATCTTTGGCATGTGGAAAGCCAGTTTTTCCAGCACCATTTACTAAAGAGGTTATATTTCTTCCTGTGAAAGTGTTTGGCTCCTTTCTCAAAGATGAGGTAGCTGAATGTGTTTGGAGTTGTCTCTACATCTTTTTTGTTTGTTTTGTTTTGTTTTGTTTGCGGTACTGGGGATTGAACTCAGGACCTTGCGCTTTTGAGGCAGGCGGCGACAACACTGAGCTAAATCTCTGGCCCATTTCTACATCTTCTAATCTGTTCCATTGATCCTCAGTCTGTTTTTTTGCCAGTACCATGTTGTTTTTAATCACAGTAGCTTTGTAGTATAATTTCAAGTTGCAGATTGTGGTGATTCCTGCCTTGCTTTTTTTTGCCCAGAATTGCTTTTGCTATTCTAGGTCTCTTGTGGTTCTAAATGAATTTTAGGATTGTGTTCTCTAAGTCTGTGAGGTATGCGATTGGTATTTTTATCAGGATTGCATTAAATCTGTATAACAATTTTGGAAGTATGGCCATTTTTACTATATTGGTTCTTCCTACCCAAGAACAAGGGGTATTTCTATTTTCTGGTATCCTCTTCAATCTCCTTTTTCAGAGTACTATAGTTTTCAGTGTAAAGTTCTTTTACTTCCTTTGTTTCATTCCTAAGTATTTCACTTTTTTGGATGCTATTGTGAAATATTCCCTAATTTCTCTGTCAGTGATTTTGTAATTTTTGTACAAGAATGCTATTGATCTTTGAGTGTTGACCTTGTACCCAGCTATGCTACTGAATTTGGTTATTTAATCTAGAAGTTTTTTGGTAGAGATTTTGGGGTCTTCTCTGTAGAGTATTATGTCATCTGCAAAAATGATAATTTAACTTCTTCTTCCTATCCTTATTGCTTTTATTTCTTTCTCTTGTGTAATTGCTGTGGCTAATGTTTCCAGAGCTATATGGAATAGGAGTGGTGGTAATGGACATCCTTGTCTTATTCCTGATTTTAGAATGAAAGCCTTCAGTTATTGTCTATTTAGTATGATGTTGGCTGTTGGTTTGTCATGGATGGTTTTTATTAGATTGAGATAAAGATCATCTATTCCAATTTTCCCTCGGGTTTTTAAAATCAAGAATGGGTATTGGACTTTGTCACACACTTTTTCTCCATCTATTGAGATGATCATGTGATTTTTTTTTTTTTTTGGTACTGGGGATTGAACTTGGGTCCTTGAGCTTGCGCAGCAGGTGGTGAAACCACTGAGCTAAATCCCTGGCCCGATCATGTAATTTTTGTCCTTGACTCTGTTAATATGATGTTTATTGATTTGCATATGTTGAACCATCCCTGGATCCTTGGGATGAATCCTACTTGGTCATGTGTATAATCTT